CAGACTCAAAGGGCCGCACCGGGGATGTTGGGATGTCGTGCTCCCAGCCCGCAACACCTGGAGTTGCCTCCGCCCATCAGGGGAGCTCAGGCACTGCCTCCTGCCCCCTCTGCCCCCAGGGGATGCGGGATAAGCTAAGGAGGCTGTGCTTCATCCCACAGCCGGGTCACTGGAATCCCCCTAGCTCACATCCAGTAGTGTGATGCACACATAAGTACTCCTACTGACTTGTTCCCCAAGGATATTGTCACAAAGTGCCTAGTCCAAAATGTCCCCAGATTTCAGTTTCCTACCTTTAATGGCTCTTTTCCTATAAAACAAATTGTGTCCTGGGCACAAAGTACCCCAGAATCTCTCAAGGAATAGTCATGTCAGTTATTTTGATAGCCCAAACAACACCCCCATCCCAAAATGGAAGGAAAAAATGTTTAATACAATCCTCTTGGTCTCTTCGTGAAGCTAAGGTAAAACCTGCAGCAAACAAGATAAAAGTCATGGAGGGAAAGCTATGCTATGTATTTGTTTAAAGTTAGTTGGCCATACCATCATTAGGGAGAGAAAAAGGTAAATGGCCTTGTATTGTTATGCATATGTTCTTGTTTTGCTCAACCTCAGGAAGGAGTCCACCTTAAATTACCTGTACACAGAGAAACTGAAAGCCATTCTTATATTGATAGAAACCTCCTGTAGGGCATACCTGGCTGGCCCATTGAACCCAGATGGGCTGGTCATGTTTCCATATTGCTGAATCTATCACAGCCAAGTCACACAGGCAGGGACAGAGAACTCCCTTGCCAGGGCTGCACTCCAAGCCCCAGCCTCCCAGGTAGATCAGCTTCTCGGGTAAGAGCTGGAAACACCAGAATTCAAATGCATCCATCAGCATCCATGAGGGGAATTTCAGACCAGTGAGCCTCTGTCTCTACTACCTGGTCAGAAAGGGGACTGCTGACCCAAGCAATTATTTCAAGTTGGTTTGCCCAGGTTCCTCACTTGGTGACTGCAACGTCGATGAAGGGAACGGCCCATCACAGGTACAACGCCACTATCTGACCCTGCACTTTGTGTTGCAACAGAGCAGTCATAAGCTTCCCAGATGCATCAGCTTATGTGTTCAGCTGCCTGCAGCTGAGATATTTAAAAGTGGCTTTAAATTAGTATCACCAAAGCTAAACTGGCATATTTCTTTTTCTGCAGGTCTTTGGATTGTGACACTTTCTCTTTTCAGAACAGCAGAAAGTCGAGAAACCGATGTGGCATCTGGTCTAATGGGACCTATAGCACCTTCTGGCCCACATAGCCAGCCAGATAGCCAACCTAGCTATGCTGGGCTACCTGGTCCTCGTGGCCCACCTGGTCCTCCTGGCCCATCTGGTCCTCGTGGCCCACCAGGGCCAGCAGGTATGGTGCTGAATCAAATTCAAATGCTCATCCTCAAAGCGGCTGACATAAAAGGGAGAGACTAAGAAAGGAAGGGGAATGGAAAAGAAAAGGAAGGAAGGAGATCAATATTTTAATATCAGAACAGGGAAATTAGCTCTAAGCTGGTAATTGAAAACACTTTGGGCCAGGCTGATCTTTCCTTGCCAGTGTTCTTGCCTGAATAGTGGTTGGGGCTGTTGGCCTTTGGCCAGTGGATGGGGCCAGAGTGTTCTTCCTCCAAATATCTTCAGTTCCAGGACAACTACTAGTTGAAGCCAAGCAGGGTGTTCAACATGGAGACCCCCAAGAGAGGATATCAATGTGCCAATAAATAAATTTGCACATGCCAATTGAAATGCATAGATGCATAGTTAGACAGATGTACTACAGTGCAACATATCTCATGGTAGTGGCACAGGATGTGACCAGGTGATCTGCCTGCCTGCCTACCCACTTGGTGTGCTGGGTTGGTCACATGGGCTGGGCCAAAGCTTTCATGTCATCCCTGAGAATTGGGGTTGGGGGGTGGGGGGTAGCCTCCTGGGCATCCCAGCCTGCCTGACTGATAGAAAAGCCCAGTCTGCGTTTCACTTCTCTCTTGAGCCAGGGCAACCACAATTTCTGCTAATAAACCCAGTTTTTGCAAACAAATTACTTTCCCTGCTGTGGCAGTTGTACAGCATTATAAAACTAAAGTGCATTGCTGCTGATGAGAAGAACTTAAAGTCAAGCACACCTATACAGATGTATAGCACTTTCAGAGAAGACTCTTTGAAATGGCACCCTGTTCAGCATTCTCTCTGCTCATTTGACAGCTCTTTTCTCTTGATTGTTTTCTCCTTAAAGGGTTTAGAGAGCTACCCACAGTTACAGGCTTGCAAGGAGGGTAGGGAACTCTAATTTCACCAAGCCCAGACAACCAGACCTCACACAACTCCTCTTTGCTGACATCCCCCTCCCTTTCTTGATTGTTTTTCAGGACATCCAGGATTTCCTGGTCTAGCGGGACCAATTGGAACCCCAGGACCAGTGGGTGCAAGAGGGGCTCCAGGTGCCCCTGGCATATGTCCTCCAGTAGAGGAATCTGCCTTTGCTGCAGAACTGGGAAAAGATCATCCAGAACCCAACCAGCCCATTGTGTTCCACAGGATCCTGCACAATGATCAGAAACATTTTGATGAAGCTTCAGGAATCTTCACCTGCCAAATCCCAGGATTCTATTACTTTGTCTACAACCTGCAGGCAGACCGGGATGCACATGTTATGTTGGCATTAAATGGCACAGAGGTGGTGGGCTCTCATAAGACTGTTACAGAAGGTTCTGAGGACCTCTCAGGAAGTATGATCCTCAAACTGGATAAAGGAGATCATGTGTGGCTAGAGGCAAAACAGGATTCCAATGGGATAACTGAAAAAAGTTCCTTTCTGGGCTACTTAATTCCTCAATTTCATTGAAATGAGTCCAAATCTAACAAGGTAATTCTGACGAATTGGGGATGAACTTCTCTTGATTATTGTGGCATAATGCAATGTGCTTTCTTGCATGCAATATTAAAGCTGGAATAGAAAACCCCTTATAAGCGCGCAAGAATCTTTGAATCCCCAGAACCTATTTTCAAGAAAATATGGCTACAAGGCATGTAGTAAGAGGCTTGGTTGAGGTCAATGTTTCATAATTTCATTCAAGAGAGGGAAAGGATTCAGTAACACACCACATATAGAGAGAGTTGTAGTGCATTTGTATGAAGATGTTTCTATTTTTACGAAAAGTGCATAAAGCCTGCATGTATTCAAACATGTAATCATTTGCTGAAAATTAAAGCTTGAAACTTAAGCAACTGGTTTTATGCTTTGTGCTTAGAGACTTGGATACTAATATCAGAGAACGATCCAGCAAAGGCATAGTGTCCGTGCAGTGAGTGTCAAGGGAAGAAAAGGGCTGCAGTGCACGGAGGGAGAAAGGCTACTTAGCTTGAACACCAACCCAGCAAGGTGGGGCTACCCCCACCCTTTAAGCCAGAGCCAGGGGTCTCACAGACCTTAAATAATATGTACAAGGTGTATGAAATGGAGGGACCTATCCTAGCAAAGAATACTTGCATTACTTGAAAGATAGAACCAAAACAGATTCTTAAATGGAAGTTTGAATATCATAAATTCACAAACTAGGTAGCAAGGCAGCACAATCAAACCACATCCACAGTTTCTAATTGTGGGATAAGAATGGTTTCAAGGGCCTTGTTCTAAAAGAATAATATGAGAACCAGGAAGACAATACCTGTCTTCTCTGATCATGTAGCAGGGCACGACTCCCTAAGATCAACCTGTATGCCGAAGGACTGGAGAACACCATTTTTGAAAAGAGATCCAGGGTGATTCAAGTAAATTGTTACACAATTTAATAAATTTCTTTATTAAAGAAGAAATTTAAGTTTAAGAATTTCTTTATTAAATAGAAAATTAAATATACATTTATTAAAAATTTAATAAATTTCTTTATTAAATAAAAACAATAAGCACAGACAAGTTGTTGTTGTTTCATTTCTATACATGGAAAAACCGAAACTGTCTGGGCAGTTTGCAACTATGTATAAAACAATACCATACATTACAATACAAGTAACATAAAAACAAAACATTAAAATGAATTAAAATGAATTTAAAATAGTTAAAAGCTGTACAGGAAAAAGGAGCCTGCAAAGGATGAAGTATCGCCCTGATAACCCCCTTCAGGACCCTGGATCTTTACAGGCCTCTGCATAAAGGGCTGTCTTGACCTGGCAACTTTGGCACCAGGCAGGCTGAAGCAGGGAGGTTGTACGGATCATCTTAGTCTCTTTTGAAAGCCAAGATTCCAAGCTTAAACCTCCAGCAAAGAAAATTAAAATCTGTTGAGGACAATTTTTAAAATGCTGGTCTAAATTTTGTAGCGAAACTATTTTGATGCAGAGAAAAGATCAATGAGGTCAGCAATGTTTCACAGATTTTATCCTTACAGAGTAAACCTGAAATTACTCGTACTTGCTGAAAGCTCTTCTTATGCTGATCGGAACCTCCTGGGGAAAGCTCAGCCAGCTTATAGGCAGCCTTTCCCTTGCCTTTGTCCAGGGCAACAGACCTACCACCAATGCAACTAATGCCAGCTTTCATGTTGATGCAGGATCACAGGAGAAAGAAGCACTGCTTCTCATGGCACATTCGTAGCTATGGCAGTGCCACAGGACTTAGTAATGGCCACCAAGCAGATGGCTTTGAAGGCGGGATGGACAAATTCATGCAGAAGGCGATCAGTGACTGCTGGTTGCAATGGCTGTAGGCTACCTCCAGGATCAGAGGTTACGTACATACTTGCGTACAAGAGTTGCCGGAGAAGTTGGATTGGAGGAAACCATTGCGCTTTCGCCTGCTTGTGGGTTTCCCACAGGTGCTGCATGGCCACTGTGTGGACAGAATGCTGGATGAGATGGTTCATGGATTGATCTATTTTATTTATGTAAACAACTTATATGCCGCCCCATTGCATGAGTCTGTGATAGAGCTATCTATCATAGCTCTTCCTAGGAACATGGCCGATTTGTAACTAACTTTCTCTGGATTTCACTGGCTCCGTGCAATGCATTTTCTTGCATGATGGTCTAAGGCTGCAAGGTATAAACCGGTGAACAGCACAGTCCTGTCACACTGCTCCAGGTGCTGGGTGGGGGAGGCTGGTCATGGCTGTGTTCAGCATGGGCAGCCTCCACAAAACAGCAGCAGCTCTGACGAGGAGATAGGCCTGATCAGCCTTCAGTCATTTTTCAGCCCCACCCCCAAAGGCTTCTCTTCTCGGACAGGAAAAGAATGGTTGTTTTCTTCCTTCCCTCCTGGCTTCTCTGAAAAATCTGTGGAATGCATTTTCAAGTCTTCATAATTATCTCCTTTGACATTTTGTTTTGTTTTGTTTTGTTTTGTTTTGTTTTGTTTCTGCCTTGCCTTGCCTTGCCTTGCCTTGCCTTGCCTTGCCTTGCCTTGTCAAGGTAGCTGAAAATGCACTCAGTGCATCCGATTTCTACATCCTTTAACTCGAGGTCCAAGGGATTGCATCTGTTTGCAGAGTATATGCTGTACTACTGAGCAACAGTGTCTTCATAAATATCAGAAAAGCAGATTCGCCATACAATCTGTAGTTTAGCCATGCGACACCATATAAGTGGGCATGCCAGGGGCTGCTCTTCCAGCCGGGGCCAGCGCCAAAGTAGACATAGCTGGGCATTGCCCAAGAGCTCACACCCCTGCAGGGGCCCATGGACATGCTTCTCCTTTTCACCAGTGCAACCTGCTTATCCAGCAGCCTCTTGCTCTGCCCCTAACAATGGAGCTGGTGAAAAGAAGGAACAGCAGTTGCCACTCTCTTCCAGCTGAAGGCCAAGCAGTGGCAATGATGGGGTGGAGGTCTTGGAGCAATAGCAGCTCATGGCCATGGTGGTGGAAAGCAGATGCTCCATCTAATGGCTCCTCCCATCAATCATGTCATGTTAGAAAAAGCCCACACTGTCCAGGGTTGTGTTTCCGTCAGATAGGCACACGCTTATCAGCAGAGCATGAAGTGATGACTTGCCTGCTTGTTGTTGGGGCCTGGTTGCTGGTATCTGGAGAAAGATTGCATTTGTATGTTCATCTGTACATGTCTCTGAACTAATACACATTAATCATAGTTAAATAAAATCCATAGCACTAGCACTGATTGGTACAATATTAAAAGAACATTTGGCTTGTTTGTGACTAGATTTCATGAACTCTAAAGGAGAGCTGCAAACACAGAGGAACCAAGCTGATTTGCATGTTTTTATGGGGGGCTGCAATTCATGGGAAAAATTGCATAACAAGTTTAAGCTGCTGCATTTTTTCTTCCCAAGACAGCAGCCTTTACTTTTTTTATCGCCTGCCAAAACATTCTGGAAGCACCAGGGAGGAGGAGGGAAGGCAGCTGGGGCACCCATAGCAATCAGGTCCAGCCTCCTCTCCTCCCTGCTCATCCACACCCCTGTTCTCTTGCTTCATGGTGCACTTATGCTCTTGGAGAGGTGGCCAGCATGATTATTTCCAAGCTGGCTGTAAGCTGGCAGGACCAGGGCTTGGCTAACAGAGTCCAAGCGCCCAGATTAGAGGATCTTGGTGCTGTGCCTCTCAAAATTCCTATGTCCGTCACTCCACCTTGGCTCATGCTAGGAGGCCATAACTAAACAAGTTGCATATGTCTGTTATGTAAGATGTTTTCCCTTCAATGTACTATTCTATGACGTTATTTATTTATTTAGGGAACTTCTATGACGCCCCATTCGCCGAAGCCTCGGGGCGGCTCACAATCATAAATAAATAACATAATATAAAACAATATAATTTAACAGTATAAATTAAGTCGCCCTGGCCAAAGAATAAAATAAATAAATAATATTAACAATTAAAATAACATTTGAATAAGAAGGTCTTCGCCTGGCGCTGAAAAACAAATAACAATGGCGCCAGGCAGGCCTCTCTGGGGAGTGCATTCCATAGATTGGGTGCCACTGCAGACAAAGCCCTCCTCCGAGTACTTACCCTCCTAATTTCCTTCCCGGAGGGTTCCCGGAGAAGGGCCTCTCCCACTGATCTCAAGGGGTGGGCGGGCATATATGGATGTAAGCGCTCCTTCAGGTAACCAGGACCCAAGCCGTTTAGGGCTTTATAGGTCATCACCAACACCTTGAATTGGGCCCAGACTTCAATGGGAAGCCAGTGAAGCTGACGGAGGACTGGAGTCACATGAACATAACACCCCGTCCCCGTCAGCAGCCTGGCAGCTCTATTTTGAACCAATTGAAGTATCCGGACTGTCTTCAAGGGCAGCCCCATGTAGAGTGCGTGTGTCACTGCCTCACCTGGATTGGTGGAGAACGAGAGGTAGAGCTGGGTATCATCAGCGTACTGATGATTCCGCAGCCCACACCTCCTGATGACCTCTCCCAGTGGTTTCATGTAGATGTTAAACAGCAAAGGGGACAAAATGGATCCCTGCGGTACTCCATGGAATAGCTGCCATGGCGCAGAGCCATAGTTCCCCAGCACCACCTTCTGGAATCAGCCATTGAGATAGGAGTGGAACCACTGCAAAGCAGTGCCTCTGACCCCACTAGCCTATCCAGAAGGATACCATGGTCGATGGTATCGAAAGCCGCTGAGAGGTCCAGGAGAACCAACAGGGACGCACTCCCCCCTGTCCTTCTCCCTGCACAGGTCATCGTACAGGGCGACCAAGGCAGATTCAGTACTGTAACCGGGTCTGAAACCGTACTGAAATGGGTCCAGATAATCAGTTTCATCCAAGAGTGCTTGGAGTTGTCCCGCCACCACCCGCTCCAACACCTTGCCCAGAAACGGGATGTTGGCCACTGGTCTATAATTAGTGGCCATCTTTGGATTCAGTGACACTTTCTTCAGGACCTGTCGGACTACCTGGGGCAGGTACCTGACCCTCCCTCAGAGAAGCATTAACCACTTCCAAGATACAGGTCCCAATCCCGTGCTTGGCTTTGTTAATTAACCAAGATGGGCAAGGGTCCAATAGGCAAGTGGTGGGACGTACTCGTCCAAGCACCTTGTCCACATCATCAGGCCGCAATAACTGAAATTCCTCCATTAATTTTGGACCAGACGGCGACATTGGTATCTCCCAAGTTAGTGTGTGTGCGTCTGTGTGTGTGCATGCACTTTTAAGGAGGAATTGGAGCATAATTCCTTAAGAAACCCCACAAGGAGTTAATAAGAGAAAGAATTCCATGAAATTCCTTCCTTGCTTAACAACCAACTTGACCATTG